AATAATTAAAAAAAATTCTTGTATATTCATTTTAGGTATTGCTTCTTTGTTGGGTTTATAGAGTTGCCCGGAGTTACATCAAATTGTATTTCTTTTCTGCCTGGTCTACTCTACTCTACATCAGAAAATCCCTGAGGACTTATGTAGTATATGCTGAAAGAAATTCCTATAATACCTCCTGACATGCACTTCTTTATCTGTTAGACTGTCATCTGAAAATTTGTTCGGGGAAAAAGATTACACGAACGTAGTCAGCTGAAACTGATAAGTGAGCTGATTGCAGCTGAGTGAATGAATCCGGGTCTTGTTCTGATCCGGTTCTATCCGGTGAGTGTTCCGCAGCAGCGAGAAGCTTCCTCTTCTCCTCCTATGTCTGTCACGCCTGTGATCAGAGACATGCGGTCAGTCTCCACAGTAATGTAAAACTACGGTGAGAACTTCCCGTTTTGGAATAGTTGGCATTCCGATGTCAGCAGTGCTCATTTCATACGTTGAGCTTGAACAGGGAAGGTTCTGTAGGTCACTAGGATTTGGTACCTTGGAGCAAGGACATGCCTGTCAGTGGGAAACATGTGCTGAGCGCCGTCCGTCCTGTTGGAGGGTATTAGAAGCGTGATGTGTGTGAACCGCAGGTCATGTAGAGATAAGAGAGGTCAGATGGTTCACCACATTTGCACGTTACTCAAATAAATCGTGACTTTAAACAACATTCAGACGCACCTCGAGACATGGTCTCACCCCAGCCGTTGCAGAATTATTTCCATGAATCTGAAAATAACCTCTCATTAATCGTCTCATTATATACTGAGTGTGCGGATAAAAATAATATTTTTTTTCTTCTTGTTTTGGAATAATTGGATGATACAGTTCATCTTTTATTTTAGGTCACCATTTTCAATATACCACACAAGTGCTACTAAACTTATAATGGTTAATCTATTAAACATTTATTATTAATTCAATCAATATTTGTACTTTCACTCTCTTGAATTAGAAAGACCATTTTATTTCTCGTACAAAAACTGCTAAAATTCTAAGTTTCATTATTAGTGATTATTTCGAGTATTTGATTATTATATGAAAAACGTTTTAATTATTCTCTTGAATTTCGTAAATAACAATTTGGGGCCAATGTGTGCAACGCTTTTGTGCAGCTGCCCTATATAATAAGTGCATACTTAAGCCACACTCATGAATGTCTTTGCATACAGTTGTGCTCAAAATATGTTTACATACAGTACACCTTGCAAAATCTGCAAAATGTAAATTATTTTGACAAAATAAGAGGGATCATACAAAACGCATATTATTATTTTTTATTTAGTACTGTCCTGAATAAGATATTTTATATAAAAGATGGGTAACACTTTATTTTGATGGTCCCTTTTGAACATTCTGTTGACTATAAGTAACTTTGCAACTACATGTCAACTACCTCTCATTAGAATATTAGTAGACTGTCTGCTTAATATCTGCCAACTCTTTATTGTGATGGTCCCTCAATAGACACTCTACTGACTATAAGTAACTTTGCAACTACATGTCAACTTATTCTATCCCGAACCCTACCAGTCTACAAATACTCTACTAACACTCTAGTGAGAGTTAAAGAGATGTAGGTGCAACGTTACTTATAGTCAACTGAATGTGTTAAAGGGACCATCCAAATGAAGTGAAACCAAAAGATGTTTACACATAGTCCACAAGACAAAAAAATAGCTGAATTTATAAAAATGACCCTGTTCAAAAGTTTACATACCCTTTGGTTTTTAATACTGCGTGTCGTTATCTGATTCTGGTGAAAACTTTTGAACAGGATGAAGATGTCCAAATATTCTTTATTTTATTTAAACTTTTTTTTTCTTCATTTATACGCAACAGTAGATACATTTTTCCCTTGTAGTCAAATTAAGTACAATTTACCTTGATCTTCAAATTCAAAAAGTTTTCACCCCCCCCGCTCATAATGCATCGTGTTGCCGTTTGGAGCATCAGTGATTTACTTTTTTTTAATAGTTGTGTTTGAGTCCCTCAATTGTCCTCAGTGTGAAAAGATGGATCTCAAAATAATACAGTCTCTGCTGGAAAGAGTTCAAATATGCAAAAGATGCTGGAAAACTGAAGAATTTGCAGGATCTGAAGGATTTTTCTGAAGTACATTGGGCAGTTTAACTGCTTAGGACAAACAAGGGAGGGACTCAAGAACAAACATCACAAAACAATACAACAGTCGTGGATAATCCAGGTACGACACACAGTATTAAGATTCAAGGGTAAACATTTGAAGGGGGTCATTTTTATAAATTCAGCTATTTTTTTCTCTTGTGGCCTATATGTAAACATCTTTTACAAGCACAACATTTTACAAAAAAAAGTTAGTGAGGTTTCACGTTTATAAAACATATCTAATGATAAAACAATAGATATATTTCTCAAAAATAATAAAAAGTACTCTATTTGGTGACTTTCCGGTTAAGTTTCTTAGGAGAATGTCTATAGTTCATACATGCACTTTGGGATCAGTTGGTTAAAAGTCATATTTAAAATAACATACAGACTAAGTTAGTAGTTGGTTCATTTGTTTGCTTATGCTACCTGGATATACATTTTTATTATTTTTATTATTTAATGCAATGAAATTGATACGGTTTTAATTCTGACTTAAGTGCTCAGAAACTTTTTGGGCCTGCTGTATGCTATATGTTACTGTTCTGTATGAAAGACTATTGATTAGACAGTCCCGCTGGAGTCAGTTACAGTTTCAACTGCTCAAGACAGGCTCTTAAAAATAGAGAAATAAACAGCGTGACTGTAGAAGATATAAACATTTATTCTTTCTGGATTTTGTTCAGCAGATTGTAGGATGAGGAGAGAGACATTGATATGATGGGAATATGGGAAGGGGTGAGAGGAGGAAAGGATTATTTTAACAAAGAAAAAACTGCACTCTAAAAAATGATGGGTTGTTTCAACCCATGTTTGCGTCAAACCCAAACGTTGAGTTTAATTTTTATTATTATTATTTAATTTAAAAATGTAAACCAACGTTTAGTTTGTTTGTCTATATTTGGCCCAATCATGGGTTGAAACAACCCAGCAATTTTTATAGGGAAATTGTCAGATTTCATCGCTTTGTCAAAGAGTTTTACATACACTCCATTAAAGAAACGTAAACATGTTATTGTGCTCATCCATCATGATGTAAAAGAGTCAAATTGATAAAAGAAACTTGCTTTGAGGATCATAAATCACCTCAAATAAGATGATCAGTGTTTGTGAAATCTAGTAAGGGACTTTGGACTTAACAATATTATATAGGCTAATGTAGTTTTGGTTTATTCCACACTATTGGAATGAGGCTTTGGGGAAGAGAGTAAACATTTTCAGCTTGATGAAAACATATTTTATTGCACAAAGAATGAAACCAAACAACCATGTATGTAAACAGGAAGATGAGCAGGACAATGCATTGATGAGATTGTAGCTGGATGTCGATGCTCTATTTTAATAGTAGGCCTAGGCCTACATAACGCCTAAGCCGAAGTCAAAAACACTGAGATCACACATGAGAAATGAAATAAAACATTTTAATTGATAATGCGGTGGTATTCTTTGCATCACTGCAGTTTATTCTAGGTATCTGCAGACATGAAATGGAGAAAGAAAGCTGGGGGCTGGTGTGAAGTAACACAATAGACCATCCTGCAGCCTTGACACGCTGAACGCATGCCCACGTGTTCTCTTGGGCGGTTTTCAGTCGCTCCACTATGGGGCGTATTAGGGCTTTAAGGTCTACTGAGGGAGCGGGCAATGTCAACTGTTCAACTGAACCATGTATTTACTTGAGATGAGAGCGAGTGGGAACTGTTGTGGTTTTGAGAAAATGTGCCTGAATATATCAAAAAGCAAAACACACAAAGCACCCACATAAATAAACACACTTTTTGAACATTAGGTCTAGCCTACATTGCGGCGTATGATCAGATGCGTGCGTTCATTTCAACATTTCTCGTGAGGTATTGGCTAATTTAGCAATAAATAGCAGCCTATTCATTTGACTTTATTTTTATAAATTAGCCTACATATGAAACCGAAAATAACAAACAAAAACAAACATGTTTAAAAGTTTGATTAGACCTAGCTACTTATTAAAGGGATACATTTATTACACGAGATACATTTATTTACTCACAAGTATTTTCAGGCAACATTTCCTGCAAAGCTTAATAGGCCTACAGCCCCACGACAAAAGAAAATTTAGAGAAAGAGATTTACCCGAGCATGCTGTCCTTATTTAACAGGATGAAGTTAAAAATGAACGTGTAGCCTATAGTAATAACCTATTCGTCTTTATGCTGATTCAATAAAAAACAACCGTAGGCCTATGGTGTCCGATTCACGAATTATGACTCTTGAGCAGGTTATTTTAATGAATCGCTCAAATCCTACAAGGAATTACCGAAATTAGCTACTTCAGTGAATCTGTCAAAATCGGTAGGCTACTGAATTATATATGGCCAGAACAGCAAGACAATATTTTCAGTCAGTTTCTTTGAGTTGGGACTGCATCACTCTTCGCATGACGGCTGTAGGCTATGAAGTAGGCTATTTTAACGAAATATTTTTTTTACAAAAAAACATAGCCTAACTATTTTGATATATTATCGTGGATGTTTAGTTATTGGTTTTGGAAGGCTCTTGAAAACATGAACTGGTTGTTCGTAGCCTAACAACGTAGGCTAGTAATTTTTTTTTTTTTTTTTTTTTTTTTTTTATATATATATATTATTGTCAGAGGAGGCTACCATCTGCCAAAAAAAAGGGGAAAGAAAAAAAGGAAACTCTTTCAAGTGATATTACCCAGTGAATATATCCTTGAGAATTAGGTACACCGCCGTAAAAAAACAGAATTCCACCTTTGGGGGCGGGATGTCGTTTTTGTAACCGAGACGCCCATCATTCAAAATGCAAACCAATGAGAAAGAGGGAGAGAGCGCTGGAACTGTACCGTCGCTCTCTCTCTCTCTTTCTGTGACAGCATGGCTCATGCACCCTGACCAACTCAGCTGCCTGGAAGATCCCTGTTGTGGACTATATCCTACCACTGAATCTTGAATGCGCTAAAACCTTTGTGAATTTCGTCCAGGAAGTAGTTTGGTTTCCTAATCTGAAGACAGCGCTTCAGGGCAGCATCTATACAAATTCAGTTGGTAAACGTCAAGGTTTGACTATACAAACAGAGCTCGGGTCTTCATTCACTTGTTGGAAGATGAGGTGCCAGTGGACATACGCTGTTGTTTTCATTCACTCCAACTAACTACAGTGACAACCCGCACTTTGGGATGGGAAGTGAACACTCAAAGGACCTGAAATTTGTCTAATTGCTTTCTTTCCTCGTGGAAAACTAACTCGATAAATCGCAAGAAAGGATGTGCCTGAGATGAACGCATTATCAGACTGGACTATTGACAGACAGCGAGCGAATTAACCGGCTTCTTTCTGTTTCTTCTAAAAATGTACATGTAACTGTGACTCTTTGAAGGCTCTGACATTCCTTGCACTACGGTCGTATAAATCTGTCATTACAATTAAAGAAACATAATTTAAAAAGAACACATTCCGCGCGTGGGATATTCAAGGAAAACTGACGGGTCGCGCAGTTCGTCACCACCGGAACGCTGTAGCCTATCGAAGGAGGCTGCGATTGAAACTTTCAGAAATGCCGCAGGTGGAGGAGATGTTTTATTTTGCGTTTATCAGCTTGTTTATGTCTGTGTCGGGCCTGGATCCGGCGTCTAAGATTGTGGCGGATCGCTTCGCAGTCTACTGGAACCGAACAAACCCAAGGTGAGTTAGTTAATTGTACAGTAGGCTAAATATAATAAAACGCAGTTTCACTTGTCATTAGAAACGCCATAGTGCGCAATACCGAACGAAGTATAGCCTACTGCGGCTGCGAACTGAACAGGCTCGTCGACCCACCAGGAACGCTTGAATAAGTTTCAAGAATGATGAGCAGTCACAACAAACACATATTGTATCCGCAAAACTTCTTAAAAAACATCTCGCGCGCGATAGGCACTGACAGCGTTATTTTACAGTAGCCTAGCTAATTTGGCAAAATTCTATGAAGTTACAAGCGCGACAAAAAAAAAACGGCGCTAGGAATTGCCAAAAGTAAACGAGCCGCGAATAGTTTAAAAATTATTTACGTTGTTCGATTTAAGTGATGTTTAGTTAGCTAGTTATCAAAAGTGTTCTCTAGTAGCCTTTAGACTACTAACTAGTGAAAATGGTGTGTGTGTGTGTGTGTGTGTGTAGCTATATATCTATATATATAGCCTACAGTATATAGGCTATATATATATAGGCCTATATATATCTTTATTTTTGTGTGTAATTTTACCCCATTCTGTGATAATTTTGGACAGGATTTATATGAGAGGGGTTTCTTTCTGCTTTTGGGAGATTGACAGGCAAGCTCTTCCAAAGGAAAAAGTTATTTTGCTGTACCACTAGCTTGTCCTAGACATTGCCCTCTAGAAACATCATTAGAAATAAATATCATGCCTCATTGGTCAGTTGTTCTTTAAAATCCAATTTACCTCTTTGAAATGTGATTTTGCTTGTTATCATAATTCTAAAAGGGCACAATTCTATCATTTCGTATTTCTTTTGAGGCATTTACAAAATGTGTGGCTGAAAATGAGCTAGTAATGGTTTTCAACAATAACCTTCATGTGCAATGAAGGGTGTTAATGAAAAATAGCATCAGGAGTACTATTCTGACTGAATGTGAGATTGAATAAGTTGGTTTGATGACTGTTAATAGTTTGGGTAGTTTAATTTGAATAATTCATCTCTTAATATATTAGTATTCATGTGAGGAATAATTTGCTTAACAGATTTAAATATATTTATATTGAAATTACATCAGGCTCGCTGTGCCCTTCTCTTTGCCGCAAGTCTTGAGTTGCCTGAAAGTGCTGTGATTCCAGCTCATCCCCATTCTCGGTTGTCTCTCTTCAGTTGCCATGGGGCTTTCTCTCTGCCCTGCACCCCAGCCCCATGCTGGCTTTACACAATGGGTCAAACCCTGAGAGACATTTCAGGAGTGGCTGATGCCCAGTTGGGTGCATGCTCATGAGAGAGAAGCGCATGCAGGGGTCACACGTTCAGTGATAACAGCACAAGGCTGCGGTTAACCATCATCGGACAGTATTGAGCTCTGGTCAGGGTGAATTTGAGGGCGAGCCCTGTTTCTATAGCCTGGCAGCAGTGTGTGTTTGTGTGATTGTGAATATATGTGTGTCTGTGTTGGAGGCTCCCTGCCTATGTTTTGTCCGGGCAAAATGAGGCCCCTCTAGCAAATAAATGAGTTAGTTCAAATGAGTATCTCTCATTCACATTCATGTACTCACCCAATGGCCTAATTCAAATCTGGCTGGGCTGTATAATGTAGCTGCACTCTCTGGCAAGACCTCTGGGCCTTAAATGTCACTCATAACCCCCAAAACAAGTTACCTCCTGATCAGAATGAGTCTGCACATCGGCCTGATGCTGGACTTCTTCATTTAAACATTGATTTAATCTATCGGACCCTCGAAAGACCAATTCTTTAACAGGTTTTAAGATGCTTGATCATTTCATTGTGTTGTTTTAAATAGCCTCATCTTCCCCTCTTAATGTCACTCATTAACATCCCTAAATTACGAACATTAGAGACAGCTGTACAAGAGTCCAACTCAAAGACTTAGATAGCTATGCCATGAAATATTAATTCGTTTATAGATTGCCTACATTATAGCTTTAATAGATGTTCTTAGTAGCTTAATGGCAATGAGATTCTATAATAATAAGAAACACAACTGTTTATAATTTTTTTTCCCTTTAAGCGTTCTGGGAGGCTTATCTATTAAGGCTTGTCTCTCGTTATTTTGCAAGCGTAGGAGTTGCACTTTAAAGCAGCGGCGAACATACTGAATGATTGCTAGTATTTTCACACGAGTGAGTACGGCGGAGTCTATAGAGATTCTTTAGAGGATTTAGGGGGGAATGGCTCCTTTAGTTTTTGGCCTGAGATTTGCAGCGCACCCATTCATATGTAAGCCTCTGTCTTGCTCTACATATGGTGGTCTTACAAGCTTCACTGGGTTTCGGGGGCTCTTTCTTTCCCCTCCAATGCGGTCCACGCCGTTTGCAATTACAAATGCAATTCAAGTTGGCAGATTTCCTCTGAAGTTTCCCAGCTCGTTCTCAGATTAGTCATTTCTAAGTTCAAGACGTGTTTGTTCGCAGGCATTACTGGATTGGCATGAGATAGAGAGCTTATTGTTTCCTTCCCTATCCTGCGTGTCTGAGAAAGTAGTGTTCTTGTAATCCAGATAAGCGATCTACATTACAAATATATTCATTTGTCAAATTTTTTTTTTTGGTGCTAGTTCCTGGAATTTTAAACTAAAATAGGTCTTGTGTTGAAACCGAAACCTGTTTATTTGTTGTTGATAGTCAGGATCAGTCAGGAATCAGTATTGAATTCCTACCTTAATCTTCTGGCTGTTTGTGTATGTGGTGCCATGGAAGCCGATACCGCTGTCCATCAAAGAGGTCTGTCGAATGGACCTAACAGCTGGGGAGAGGGATTTCAGCATTCTGACGGAGTCCCGTTTTAATCACTGATAATGCCTCTCAAATCTCTCAATAACAGATGTGGCACATTTCCTACAGTTTTTGAAGCCTTCTCAGTCAGGTGGTGTAGTGAGTAGTATGCTCTGCCTCTTTAGACTTGGGTTTTTTGTAACATTTCACACTTAAACACTTCTAGGTTGTCTTTCTCTGCTAATTTCTTCACTACAGAAATGGGAAATGTCATGGATCTCATGTAAAGCCGTCTCTTTTTCACCTCTTAACTCTAGCTTGCGTAATATGACCTCAAATGGTTTCCTTTTTGTACCGGCTCAATTTTAATCCCCACTTTAAAAAACAAAGCCCATGGTTTGTGGTTTGTGGCCAGTTGATATTGTGATAGCTGTTCGGTGGTATTGTGTGGGGTTCAGTTTGTATTGTTCTGCGTGTTTACCCTCCTTTTCCCTTGCTGGCACTTCTAGCCTCCTGCTGCTTGGTTCCGCTTGGATTTTAAATGGGGGGGGTGAAAAAATCATGTCCAAATATTGACTGGTCTGAAGACCTCGGTCTTCTCTCAGCTCACGTGAAAGGGTGCCATTGTTCCTGTCTTAGTGGATCTTTGCCAGAGTTTCAAGTATTTAGGCTCTTACATGCAGGAAGTGCATACAGCAGGGCTTGTAGAAGGAAACATAGAGCGAGTAAAGAATGGAAAGAGTTACAGATGGGAACCGCAGGCCTCTTGGTTTGAATCCCACAATCGCGCCCCATCCCGATTAACCCTCCAGGGCTGTGAAGCAGTGTGCTGGTGCTCTCAAAAGAGTTGGGCTATCGGAAGACTCACTCCAGCAGAGAGAAAGTTCTCCTGCAGGGTAACTAGAACATCCTGCTGTTTGATGACCCCTAACACACCGAGAGGTGCCTGGCCCCCTTCCTTCTGCGCTCAGCTCTTGCGTTACGCTAATAAACTGTCATGATTGCGTCTCTGAGAGAATTCAGGGAGTGCCTCTTTTTAAATTAAAGTTAACCGTTCTTTCTTTTTTATTACGAATTCACGCTTGAGTCATCACAGCGATTGCTCATCCTCTCTGAACTTTTTGATGATAACTGATGCATTTCGAGTCTCTCTTGTTTGCTAGAGGTAAGCTCCTCATACTCTGTGAGCTTTTAAACTGTGAGTGGTGAAATGTCTTTGCTGGGGTCTTTGAAGGCCTGGCTGAAGGTATTAACAGAGAGGCACTAAAGGGCTTAGGAGGTCATCGGCCCATTGTGTAAAGATACAAAACACTTCCTCTGAACCCCTTCACCCTTCTATGTCTCCCTCGGAGAGCCACGACCTCAACAACCATTCATATTAATCAGCTTCAGACCTTAATGACCTGATAAAGCTCCTGAAAGGACCCTAAAGTTTACTAAGCCCCCTTGATAAGAATTGGAGGAAAATGTAGCATGCGGTAATGACTACTTTGCGCATTCTTTCGCAGCGAAGTGCAGAGCGGTTTGCTCTTTGTGCCCTTCATTACGGCACATTTAATCGCAATGAGAAATAATGAAGGAAGCATTTGTTCGACAGGCTAAGCTAATAAAAATGGACTGACTTAGCAGAAGTTAGCATGAAAGGAAAACAAGAAAGAACAAGAAACAGAGAGATAGGATGAGAGAGAACGCTTCCTAGCTTGAAAAACGTGTCTCAGAGATTTGAACTTGGTCTGTAACCTTAAAACTGCTTTCACCTGCACAAATGAGGGACTTTTGGATGAAGAATACCTTTAATCTTTCTTTCTCATCCAGAAGGAACCTACAGTACAAGGATTATTTGAAGCTGCCTTCTATAAAATATTTCACCTTTTCAAAGCATGGAAAAATTGGATTTGTGGGGAAAAAAAGGATATTTTTGTACTGTGGTGAAGGACATAAATCTTTTCAAATTCACTGTTTGTCATTAAGCTGCTTTGGCTACATTATTGTGAACATATTGCAATCATAGCTATGGTAGTGCTCCAACAAAATCATCAGATTGTTAATTAAATATTGTAGAGAAAAATAAATACAATGTGACGGTTTCAATTTACCAAACTTTTCTGAACGAAAATAAATGATGAAGGAAAACCTCTAAGGATAATGCAGCAGTTGATTTTCTTCTTTTTTTTTAAATAGTTTCTTTCTGGATAAACCCAATAATAAATTATGCAGGAGATGCTTTAATCAGGCTGTTAATTGTTTAC